AATCGCAGTGGGATGCTGATGCCCCGGCCAGCAGGGTGGAGCTGACCTGCAATAGCTCGGAGGAGGCTGTGTACTGGAGCAAGGACTCGCAGTGGAGGCAGCAGGGGAAGAGCCTGGTGGCTGTGGTGAAAGAATTCCCAGATGCTGGCAATTACAGCTGCCTGAGCCAGCAGAGCCACGAGGTGCTGAGCTCCAACCTCCTCCTCATCGCCAAAATMGACTCCAAGGGCCAGATGGTGCGCTGGATCCTGAAAAGCTTCAATGGTATGGCCCTAAAATGATGGGGTGGYTCTGCTCAGCCTCTGGGAACGTCCTTGGGAAGGGGATCTCTCCCAAGGCTTTGCTGGCACTGGAGGCAAATCCTTGCTYCTGTGGCTCTGGGGGTGCAGCTGATGAGGAATTGGGTGCTGTGGATTTATTTGGGATTCCCTGGGCTTAGAGGATGGAGGGATCGGAGGAACTGGTTTGGAAAACCAGAGCTATGTGACAAGAGCCAGGAGCTGGGCCAGGGAGGGTCAGGCTGGAGAGCAGGGAAAGGTGCTGGGCACCTCAGAGGGTGCTGGCACTGCCCAGGCTCCCCAGGGAATGGTCCCGGCCCCGAGGCTGCCAGGGATGCACAGGGGGGATTGTTGGGGGTCTGGGCAGGGACAGGGGTTGGATCAATGATCCTGGTGGAATTCAGGATATTCCAGGATTCTGGGATTGCACAGAAGCAGAGCCTGAGCCAGGATTCAGCGCTGCCATTTGGGCCTCTCCATTCAGGACTAACCCCGGGATGTTTTGCATTTTCTGCACAAACCTCACTCGTCTGTGTCTGATATTTGGGTTCCTCATGGGACTGCCAGAGAATTGATGAATTTATGAGTCGCTGTTTTCTCTCTGCCTTGGCCATTTGGGCAAAGAAGAGTAAACAATTCATGGTTTCTTTTCTTCTCCATCTAGAGCCCAAGTGGTCGTTTTTAAAGTGTGAGGCAAAGAACTACTCTGGAATTTTCACTTGYTCCTGGATGACAGAAAATAAGAGTCCAAACATGAAGTTCACCCTCAGAAGCCTGAAAGGGTAAGAGCTTGTGCTTTCCTTCACCACCTCTCAGAACAGGTCCTGGTGTGACTCTGTGTAGGATTTTGGGGTGTTAAGGACACACAGAGGGAGAGAAACCTCTTCTGAGTCTSAACAGCCCCAAAATGTTTTGAGTTGCCATTGGGACAAAGTTAACTTAACAAGAGCATAGAAATGGCTCAGAAATGAGCAAAGCCTTGAAAATGGAATGAGCCCRTTGGGCTGGAGAAGCCACTGAGTAACTTAAGCAATAGCAAAGCAGTTGGTGGGGGGCAGAGAGGAACTGGACGCAGAGCAGGATGACCCCGAGCTGCCAGCGCAGTGTGGAGCGCTGCCCCAGAGCAGCTGCAGCCAGAGCTGGGGTGGCTGTGCCCAGGAACCCCACAGGAACCTGCAGAACCCCACAGAACCCACAGGAACCCCACAGGAACCCCACAGGAACCCCACAGAAACCTACAGGAACCCCACAGGAACCTGCAGGAATCTGCAGGAACCTTCAGGAACCTGCAGAACCCCACAGAAACCTCACAGGAACCTGTAGGAAACCCACAGGAATCTGCAGGAACCCCACAGGAACCCCACAGAACCCCACAGGAACCCCACAGGAACCCCACAGGAACCTGCAGGAATCTGCAGGAGCCTCACAGGAACCTACAGGAACCCCACAGGAACCTGCAGGAATCTGCAGGAGCCTCACAGGAACCCGCAGGAAACCCACAGGAACCCCACAGAAACCTGCAGAAACCCTACAGGAACCCCACAGAAACCTGCAGAACCCCATAGGAACCTGCAGAAACCCTACAGGAACCCCACAGAAACCTGCAGAAACCCTACAGGAACCCCACAGAAACCTGCAGAACCCCATAGGAACCTGCAGAAACCCCACAGAACCTGCAGGGAAAGGGCTG